TATATATATATATATATATATATATATATTTGCGGCCAAATTAGTATCTTTATTGCAATATTACTTTTTTAAATACAGGATTTCTAGACTAATAGTAATACAAGTGAATCTAATCGCAGACACTGAAATCTACAAGTCCACTTGTATTAGTCCTAACATTAGTTAAGCCTTTATTATGTATGGCCTATATTCGATAAAGAGATCAATTAACACTGTAATTTGTGCCCGTTTTTTGCTTTAGTTTGGTTAGGGCTAAATCTTACCACACTTAATACTGTCAATAAATAATCTTCTAATATTATTGTACGACCTAACGTTAGACATTTGAGAAACTTTTATAAGCTTTTAATATGTTGTATAAATGTCTACTAAAGTATATTTACGTCCTTTCTGGCGTAACTCGACGATTTAACAAAGATACGTTTTCAAATTGCGAAAAAGGTGTAATTTTTTTGTACATTGTAGTCCAAATATATCTTGATAGAAAGCCAAACTACTTAAATTACGTAATAAGTTGCTATGACATCAGTGCGTGAGCGAGAGACAGACAGACATCTGTGTTTTATAGTATAAGAAGATGGGTAAAGAGACAGTAAACTTCATGTTCTCGCCATCTGTTGAAGAATTACTCAAAACGTTATCCACGCATTAACTCACAGAAAGCTTTAGTCACTCGCCATATTAAAAATAATCTAGATTTGATCATTTCAGGAAATTCGAATCACTCACCATCCATCTCCAATCATTTGGGTCAGCACGAACACCTCCAATTATTCTGGTTTTAAAACTTTGGCCGCAATCTGTAAAATGGTATTTAGCTTATCAAAAAAAATATATATATAATTTCTTTTTTTCACTATTCTAAAACGTGTTTTTTTTACCTTAAATAAAAAATATATTTATGTTTCTTTAATTAATACCACATAATAAATAATACTTAGCTCAGTTTTCAACATTTATCATAAATCTAAATTTCATAGAATACCAACGGTAAAGTTGTGTCAATCGGATATCAATCATCGTTGTTTTTGCTAAGTAGCCTGCACTATCACCTAAGCCTAAATAGCAATTAGTTGCTATTTTTGATTACCATATATTAATTAGTTTGTATCGTTTCGGCTGTTAAGTTGTTGCCGTCTTCAGAGAAGTCATGAAAAGGACTGTTTTCTATGATCATAGAAACCAGGGATCGATCCTATCCAAAGTCGTCCTGTTAGAAAGATTATGTACTATCCAGTAGTCCAGATTCTCCCTTTTTAACACTAGAATTAATTATATGAGTATTTTCAAGATGAGTAAAAAATGTCAGTGGTTGTTTAGGATGGTTCGCTAAATTTTTAGCCGGGGCATAACCGCTCAAAGAACAGCTCCGATTTTTTTTTTCAAGTACAAACTTTTAGCTAATAGATACGTCATTTCTTGACCGATTTGAGATCTAGTTACAGTTTTGAACTCAGGAGGTCAAACAATAAGATAGATGTATTTTACCACGCCCAAGGTCTCATAGATTAATTCACTGTAATCCTGCCAAAGAATTTCAATTTGAGGGTAGCTGGTAGAAATCCTGATGGGTTATAAAACTGAATCGGGTATACGCACGCCCAACGCTTGGTATTGCTGGTGCACAAAAATACAGCTAATAAAAAAGGGGGGGGGGGGAGGTCTCATAGATTAATTTACCCTAATTCTGCGTAAAAGAATTTCAGATGCCGCGGCTACTGAGGATTCCATCTTGTTTCAATTAGACGGGCTATAAAAGTCTTCTTTTATCTTTCTTTTTCTTGTTCATATACCATTATTTTTGTATTCATACATCTTATTGTATATTTTTCTGCTCTGGTATGATAATCAGTTGCAGATATCTCGTATATCCATTAGACACCTGAATACTGTTCGGACTTTTAGCCGTTTACGCATCCTCTATATGCTTTCAAAGAAACTTCTGACAAAAGGGAAAATGGCTGTACGTCTATAATTTTCTTCAGCTTATTCTTGGTGTGGATGATGTTGGTTTATAGTTGAAATATATACCAATGTATGCAAGTGTCCTGTAAAAACTCTTAGAATACGAGTTATGTGCCCTGGTAATCATCATGTCTAATAATGGGTATTTTATCCTTTTACAGAATTCAGGAAGAAAAAATGCAGACAACTGTGCGTTTCACAAATACTTCAATTATTAACGACCATGGTTTCGCCAGCAAAAGTATCATCAGGTACTATGGTCGTGGTATCATCAGGTACTATGGTACTACGTTTATTAAACGTAGAGTTTTTCTTTGTTTCTTCCTCAATTCTGTAATCATGGAGTTTCGTTAAGTAACGACCATGGTTTCGCCAGTAAAGGTATCATCAGGTACTATGGTCGTGGTATCATCAGGTACTATGGTACTACGTTTATTAAACGTAG